AAGAATCATAACGAATATTTAAAATTTGTGAAATTTACTATCTTGAAATGAACATCTTCAATAGATATTAAAGATGGAATTGAGATGTAGGAGCAAATTTAGCCCAAAATCACCCATTTTCCGGCGTCGTCTACTGGTTTACTAATGAAATATGTATTTTTCCTACAGTCTTTCTGCCTCGCCAACCGTTGTCGACCGATCGGCTCGCCGAGTATCTGCGCGAGAGCCGAGCCTCTAGTGGACTGCTTCTTGCTCGTGAATTCGAGTCCATTGAACTGGCCACCTCCTCGGTCCGAAATGCTGCAAAACGACGAGATGAACTGGGCGTCTCGAGCATCGACTCAATCTCGCCGACCTGGCGACATTCACATTTGGAGGTTAACAAAGCAAAAAACCGTTATGCCAACGTGATCGCGTTCGATCACACTCGAGTCGTCCTCCAACCGTTCGGAGATGGACAAACTGGCTCCGACTATATCAACGCCAACTATTTGGACGGTTACAACAGGAAAAGAGCCTACATTGCAACACAGGCAAGTGGCAAAAATAGGAATGGTTTTGGTACCTTGGTGAGATGAGACAAGACAAGAAATGACTTGATTGTTCCAGTCAATTCCATTCTATTTTCGTATTAGAGTAGAGTAAATCAGTAGCATGAGATGTATTTACCCAATTTCGTTTAAGGTGATAAAGGACTGGTAGTAGAATTTTCCCACAATTCTATGAGTTGAGCTGATGTTTCCATTCAATTTCACATAGCCTTGTTTTCCCAAAAGTTGTTCTCATCTTTTGTTGGGAAAGCAATGCTATGTGAAATTGAATGGAAACGTCAGCTCAATTCATATCATTGTGGGAATATTCAATTCTAGCCATTCAGCTGCATCTGGACTCACGCAATGTTGCACACACACAAACATACACACATCCTCTTGTCTTGGTACCTTGGACATGTGAATATATCCACTCGACCGTCCACTTCTCCTCTAATCAATCACTTAATTTCAGTTACAATGTTCTGGAAGACTCGATGTGTGATTTCGATGACCACCACAGATGTATGACGGAATGTGTGATTCTCACTCTCCTCAGCGTGAAAACCATTTCCCCACTTCTCACTAAATTCAAGCGAAATTCCCACCTCAATTATAAATTAATGTTTCACTGGACAGCCGTAACAGTTCTATTTCCTCCTGTTTCGCTAAATTTCCCATCTCTTAGTAACCCATACTCAGCCCAATTTCTCCACTGGTACCCGATTCACATGAGATGTGAATTTCCCCAGCCGCTTATTTATCCTTTTTTCCAGCATACTTTAGGTGTGATTCACACGTTCGTCTGCACGTGTAATGAGGCTGGAGTAAAATTTCCCATTTCCTACCATATTCTTTATGAACTCTCTCTCTCTCATTCTCTCTCC